TCAGCACACTTTTCTTTCCCTTCCCCTCCCCCTGCCTCCAACATGGCTAGAGTGCAGTGTGCTTTGCAATATCTTATTTAGATTAGATAAGGCTGTACGGACGGACACTTCAGCAGCAAAATTAAAGGCATCTTTTGGAAGCAAATCAAAGTTTGGAGATCAAAACAACCAGTGTCTGTATGTATCTCTATGCAGATGCCCATATAGGCCTAATCAGAAGAGTTCCATTGTTTGACCAATTGAAGCAAAAACAGAGACAGATGAAAATCGAGTTCTTGAGGGACACCAGAGGTGGTATTCAGCAGGTTCTGACCAGTTCTGGAGAACTGGTAGCGGAAATTTTGAGTAGTTTGGAGAACTGGTAAATACAACCTCTGACTGGCCCCACCCCCATCTGTTCTCTGCTCCCGAGTCCCAGCTGATCAGGAGGAAATGGGGATTTTGTAGTAACCTTCCCCTGGAGTGGGGAGAGAATGGAGATTTTACATGCCCACCAAGCCACACCCACAGAATCGGTAGTAAAAAAATTTGAATCCTACCACTGAGGGACACCCTTAGGAAAGAGATCAATGAACCCCTCAGCCCTGTGAGGTAGGCCAGATCAAGAAACCAACTCATCAGAAAGGCTATAGCTATACTTAACCAAGTTAAATTATTGTAACAGAATTGTCAAGCACAGGAAATCAGGAGCCAAGGCAGTTCAAATGAAAATAGGTTTATTGCATGCTAACACTCTTTACAAGAATCTGGACTACTAACAGTCAAAGGGAATTGGTGACAGATAAGAGTCAACGGAATTCAAGGTGGGCTGAACTTTGACCTCCTGTGGGCGTGAAGGGACTCGAGTCAGATGACTTGCTTCACACGCCCTACCCCACCCCCTCGGGCTCAGTCGGGTCATCTCCTACATCAATCTTGCAACTCTTTGTCTCCCTTTTATATTCCGACTGAGTGAAAGAAGAGGTAACCTCAACCTCTCCCTAAAGCAGATCTCCTCTCCCAGGGCTGAAGGAATGCTTCTGCCCTTATTTCTGTAAGGTCTTCTGAATATTCCCTTCCAGGCCATTTCCGTGGCTCTCTGCACCAACCCTGGTAAGAAATCTTGACTTCCTACTTGAGGCTTTGAGAATCTTGTAAGGAACACAGCTGAAGGTTCTCTCTATTAAGACATGTTTCCCTTAGCTATGGTTTGCTGCTAAAGGACAATGAATGACCTGCAATGCACTGACCTTGAGATCATGATTTGCTGGGATAGCTATGCTCATCAATACCTTATGCCAGAACTAAATGTAATCATTATATAATTAACTACAAACTGCTAAAAGTCAAGATCTTTGCCAGGAGAAGCCCATTTATATTGCTAAGAACTTTGGCATTTATTGGTGAGAGACAGCAGGGGTGGGCAGACAACCCTTTCAACTCCTTGTCTCTTTCAAGAGAGATGTTAATTTGAAGGAGGTTATCAGCAATGACAAGGGAGATAAAGGGAGCAAGTAGCAGCCCACACAGACATGATTAAGGATACAGTTATTTCAGCAACAGCTGACAGGCGTGTTGTCTCCTTGACATAAGAAACTGCAAAAATCGTGGGTTCCACTGGGTTATTTCTAGGGAATCTGTCGATTAACGTAGTGAATGGCAGTGCTTGATTTGTTCCCCAATTTTGACTTGTTAAACATTCCTCTGAGTCTTCATGGTCTGGATCAGAGAAAAATGGGGCATTGTTTTCCTTTGGGGAATGTTATGGTGGCTAAATGAATGAAAGCAGAGAAATATCTTATCTACTCAACTCTGAGTAGATAAATAAAAAGTTAAATAATCTTATGCTTGTAACATTGACATCTTAAATGGCAGTTACACTGATAGGTTTTTTTAAAATTTTCAACACTTTCTAAATAATAGAATGTGAATAATTTTAATCATATTGATAAACATTACTTCATTGAAATCTGCATTGAAATAATATATTGTATCAAGAATTATAATAAAAGGTGGGGGAACAAAAAATTACCATCCCATACATTCATTGAGAAGTATTACCCTGCAGTGGCTTAAGAGCCTGGGGTATGAACTGTGATCTGGTTCATTCAACATTCTAAACAAATCTTATCTTGGCTTTGTGGTTGTTAAACCATGGTTCACTGTGGAAGATGCTGTTATTCAGCAAACCATGTTCAAAACAAGGCATGGCAAAGCTTGATGAGCGAATCTGACACACATTTCTTCATTCAAATAATTTCTCAGGAAGCGACTTAAGCGTGTCTTTTTCTCTGTCAGTCTTGATAGTCTCCTCCCTTTTCAATCTGGAAGCCACAGTACTGGCCTCCGTTTTTGATGGCACTTCCTGGAACTGAGCTGATGTGCTATTAATTTATTTAGTTATATTATTTGTGTCACACATCACTTTATATCATAGCTTTATTATTTTTACAAATAATTCAAGGCAGTGAACATATCCAATATACCTGCCTCCTTCTATTTTCCCAATAACCACCACCCTGTGAAGTAGACTGGGCTGAGAGGTGACTGGACCAAAGTTACCGAGCTAGCTTTCATGGCTGAGGCAGGACTTGAACTCACAGTCTCCTACGTTCTAGCCGGGTGCATTAACCACTAGACTAAACGGGGGTCCTTCTAGACTCAAGCTCCTGGTTGAGTAGCAGCCATGGGTAAGGAAGTTTTTGCACATTCATGTTGTGTACCAATTGCATTCTTTCCTTGACTGGAAGGCCTTGCTCATGATGATTCATGCCTTGTTCATTTCCAATCTGGATTACTGCAACACCTTCTATATGAGGCTGTTCTTGAGGACCACGAATAATTTACAACTGCTCCAGAATGCAGTGGTACATGCAGTGATGGGTGCCCCTAGGTTTACCTATATAACACCTCTGTTGCAGTGCATTGGCTCTCAGTTTTCTCCTGGGGAAAATTCAAGGTGCTGTTTATTAAAGCCCTAGATGGCATGAGACCAAGTTATCTGCAAGACTGCCTCTCCCTAAGGACATTTGCCCAGCCTACCAGATCAGATAGGGTGCTCCTAGTCCACGAGTGTTAAACTCGCTGCATCACATTGATGTCACGTGGCATTTTTTGCCTTCACAGAGCTGGGGTGGGAATGGCTTGCATGTGACACATCTGGCTCGTGGGCCACCAGTTTGACCCCTGTGACCTAGTCCTTTCCCTTAAATGCTGCTATTTTATAAATCTAGGAAGTGTGCCCCTACCTTATGAAATGCCCTTCCTGAAATTTGGCCATTCCCTCTCTTTTAACCTTCCCGAAAAGCACTTAAGACTTGACTTTTCCCCCAAAGTGCTGGGTTAGGGTGCTGAATTTTTGTGAGCGTCATGAAAGTTCAGCTGTGATGCCAGGTCTTTTGGTTTTAAACATTTTTTAATATATATTGTAGAGATATATTGCTTTATTTTGTGAGCTGCCCAGGGTTTGGTTCAAGAAGTGCAGCTATATAAATATTTTAAATAAATACATATTTTTGAAGTTGTACCATTATTACAAAAAGAGAAGAAGTGCTGAGTTTGTCTGCCAAGAAAATGCAAGTTCTGATGCATCAGTTTGTAATTGATTGGTGAAGAAAACATTCCATAGCCAAAAAGAGTTGGCCTTGGGATCTTTATTTATTTATTTATTAGATTTCTATACTGCCCTTCTCCCGAAGGACTCAGGGCTTCATCTTGGCTTCATAAATTCCTGAACTGAGTTCTTATGCAAACTATTGGTTTTGCTAATCAGCAAATAATCCCAAATGGGCATGCAATTCACCAATGCCTGAATAGGTCACTGGTTTTTTCATTGGTTTCTAGTTCAAATAAAAAGTTTTAAGGCTCTTGTTCCCTTTTTTTGCCCATCAATGAGTTTTGTGCACCAATCAATTATCTCTGCTTATTTGGGCTCTCTTTCACTATTCCCCCTGCCCAAGGGCTAAGGTTATTGATCGGTGGTTGACAGTTACCTCAGCAAATTCATGTATCCATGCTATAATCACAGCAAGGACATCATACCAATCAATTTCATTCGCTGCGGGGAAAGACATTTTGAAGATCAGATCTGAACATTAGTGACGGGTTGATTGAGGGCTCTTATTTATAAAGCCCCAAGTGGAGTGGCCTAAGACACAGCCAACAACCTGCACAGAAAGAGCCATTATGTATATAATCAGAAAAGCAGATGCCAGATTCTGGAAACTTTCCCTAAATAAAATAACGAAGATAATGTTTCCTGCTTTAGGTCCCAATAAGGAGGTTAGACAAAATAAATTCCAAATTCCAAACTTTTCAAGCAGATGTATAAAATCACTCACACCTGGGTCGTATTTAAGTTCACTGAAAAACAGGCACCGAGGACTCCAGCGAGGATTAAATTCATAAAAGGAACCTGTATTATACCGTTCCACTCAGTGGCTAAGACGCTGAGCTTGTGGATCAGAAAGGTCGGCAGTTCGGCAGTTCGAATCCCTAGTATAGGTCTCCTGCGTGAACAGGGGGTTGGACTAGATGACCTCCAAGGTCCCTTCCAACTCTCTTACTGTTCGACCTCCTCAAAGTCAGCCCTTCCGATTAACCGCAATGCAAATCACCTTTATCCACCACAAAAGGGAAGCAGGGAAAAGCAACGAATGGCCAAGGTGTATCTCTCTCACACACCTCGCAGCCCCGTCGCTGATCCCAGACCTCCCGTCCGGCTTGAGTATATATCGAGCGCGGCTTTTTGGTTCGGGAAACGTGAACATAGCCGAGCTGGTGTGGTGGAGACGGGGGGGGGGAACTCCTGAAAAACCGGGAGAGAAAGTGGGGGCGCGCAGGGCTTTTTGGGAAAGGTAGTCCTTGGCATACAGCTGCCTGTGGCCAAGAACTCGGTCCGGACTCTATCTCCCAGAGGCGCACTAGGCAGCGGGCTGGTAGGAGGCTTTCTCTGTACGAGCCTCCCTTACGTAGTTTCAGATTCACATATTGCATCCTATCAGGCCAAAAGGCGATGATGTCACCTGCGGGCTTGTGAGGCAGCGAGACCGGAGTTACTCCTGCTGGCGGCGGCGGAGGAAGCGAGCCTGCCTAACCAGCACCCATTGTAAGCCGAGCGGGGAACCGGAGCGGGCGGCGGCGGCGGCGGCGGCGGCTCCAGAAAGATGCACGGGGGCTTCAGGTAAGGCGGTGCTGCTCCCCCACCCACCCCCGCTCACTGCAGGCGGCACACAACGCCCAAGCCGAGGCCCCGTTTTCAGATGGTGGCTCGGGCTTGCCTTAACGCGATATGGAGGAACCTAAGTTACCTTCCGGGGTGGAGGGGTGTGTGTGGAAGAATAGGTGAAGCTAAAACGGCTTTCTCGTTCATCCCGGTGTCGGGAGAAGCGGCTTGAGGGGCGCCCGAGCTTTGAAGATTTTAACCTGGGCTAATCGGGGGGGGGGGGAAGTCCTCTAGTCTGCAAACGAGGCAGGGTCTTGGGTTTAAAGGATGGGGGGGCAGAGAAACTTTCAAGGCGGTTTTCTCTCAGCCAGAGGTAGAATCGGAACGGGAGAATATGGGCGTCGCTGCGTGGATTGCATTATTTCGCTCGTTTCTGGAAATATCCCTGCGCCCCTTTTCGCCTCCCGGAATTGTGTGGCTCCCACCCACCCCACCCCACCACAGATCTGCGCGAGAGGCCAGAAAACTGTGGGTTTCGCGTATGTGTGTATGTAACAAAAGGTGCAGATGTCTTTCCCCCCCCCCCCCGTTTCTTTCCGGCTGCAGCCTTTCTTTCTTCTGAATGGGATCGGGGCTGGATACGCCGCGAAAGAGATCGGCTTGGGGGGGAAAAAAAAACACCGGTCTGCCGCCTTTACCACTACCTCCCCTCTCCACAAACACACACTTTTTGTTGTTGTTTGTTGCTGATAACATTCCCCCTCTCCCCCCCACCATTCCACGGGTTCAAAGCCGCCGAGAGAGAGAGAGAGAGAGAAAGAAAGAAAGAGAGGGGGGGGGGAGAAAGAAAGAAAGAGTTTTGATTCTGCCGGCTTATCGCGAAGGCATTGGAACAAGCAGCCTAAAACTAGGAGGCGTGTAAAGTCGCGGCTTAACGTTGCCGCAACGAGACTTCGGTGCCTGTTTGTGTGGACGGTGCCCATGCTCGCCGCGTCCTCTGTACCGAGACCTCTTTTAAAGCTCCTTTTTGATAAACCCTCCTTGTGCCTCTTCCCCGGGTTTCTTGGTAACTGGGATCCGCTACACGTGCAGAACGGAGTCCCAGAACGGCTCTCCCGGGGTTGCCCGCTCTCACCATTACTGAAATGCTAAAGGCATGGAAACCACCCCGGCTTTTCAAATGCAAAATAAGGCGGAACCAACACTTCGAATGTATTTCAAAAAGAGACAGGGGTGCATCCGCACGGCTCTTCTAAAAACAATTAAAAAAAAAATCTGTGACTCTTGAGGGGGGGTTTGGGGCGCCGGGGACAGGTGGGTGGGAGTCGATACATCTTCATCTATAACCCTGCGTAAAGACCATCGATGCTTCTGTTTTCTCCATGGGGGAAAAAAAAAAGACAAGGTAATGGGGCTTTTCCCCCTGTGGAAGATGCAGAAACTGCTTCTCCTTTTCCTGCCACCTGGTCTCCATCTTCCTCCCACCCAGCTCCTCCCTCGATTTAGGGGTCTCTTGCTGGCTTTTTCTTTCCGTGAATGGGTGCGTTTGAGTGTCTTGGACCCTACAAGGGGGAGCTTCTCCTTCGTTCCTCCTCGGCTGGGCCAGTGGCTTTTGCTCCACAACCAGAGGGTCCCCAGTTAACCGAGGAAGAAAATAACCATTGTGCACATGCCTCTTTTCTCTCGTGTGTGTGTGTGTGTGAATGTGCCTCCTGGTTTGCAGCAGTAATAAAATCTCTTACCGATTGAGGATTTTTGAAGGAGACGCTGTCTGCAACAGGAAAGAGGGGAGGGGGCGGGGCATCAGAAATCGAGTTGCTATGGTTACCTATGCTGTTGAAGCATTGCTGCTTTTTCCTAGCTCTGGGTTTCCCAGATCCCACTTTTGCCTGGTAACCGTGGAAGGGTGTGGCTGGCGGTGGTCTGTTTTTCAGCCTCTGGAAAAATGGGATGCAGGTGAAGGTATGAATGGAGGAGGAGGAGGAGCCCAGTCTTGTGATGTAAAGTAAAGGACTTCTTCGACTCAAGATTGACTTCTGGTGACCAATGTGAACACATCCTAGGTTAGCTTTATTTTATTGTATAATTGAGGCTTGGGAGCTTGCATCTGTTTAGCTTTCTTCCTGCTCTGGGGTCCAAGTCTGGAGTTAGTGGATGTTAAATAGGAGGGGATTAGGTTAAAAATAGGGTAGTGTGAGTTTTGCCAAGGCGCAGCTCTGTTTGAGAAGCAGCGAAGAAAGAAAAGGCTGGCAATTCCTTAGTGACAGGTGTGGGTGGGTTCCCCTGTTGCATTCATAGAAACCAAGAGGAAATCGTAGGCAGGCATGAGATGCCTAAATCGCACAGGGTGTTTCCCTCTTCCTTTCCTAATCCCACTCTATGCTAACACGCTTGCTCAATGCCTGTTGCAAAATTACAGTAGGATTTCTTCTTTTTTAAAAAAAAAAATGCTGTAGCTTTATTCTTTGTGCACAAGAGCTGTGAGGGGCTTTTCTGAAACGGGGGTGAAAGCTGAGAAGAAAAATGCAGAGATGGTAACAAAAGGTGGTTTGCCATTTTGCAGCAATGCTTCGTGTGCTTTGACATGTCCACATGCAGTGGCAGTTGTGTGGAAAGGGCATCCGGATGGATTAAGGCTGCAAACAAATGTATGTACTTCATTGTGCACCATGTTCTATATCAATGACTAGAAAGTCCATCTTTTATACTTAATTGAACGTTATTAAGGCATTGGACCTACCTGTGATGAATTGTGTCTACCTTGCGTCGAATGGTAGCAGTTTTGTGCTATTGATCTTCATTATACCCTACCTTTGCTACATCATTATTTCAATTTGTTCGTTATCAGATGGCTAATGTGTGCATATCTTTGCTCTTGAGTTAACATGAAGCTATTTTACTTGGACAAGGTATTAGCCAAGGGTCAATGATACTATTTTAGATGTTGGCATTGATTAAAGTGTGTTTACATTTTTTTCTAGCTCTTCTGGATCCAACAGCCCAGGGAATTATGTATTGACTATTTCCCATCTTTATGGGCAACTGAACACAGGCAACTGATAGGCAATTTGTCCTATCATCAGCTCAGATTAGCTGGGAAATGAATTTAGCCTTCCAAATCCAGGTCACAACCTAGTTCAAATACTATGCCAGCTCATATGGATTCTCATGTTAACTCCATGATGTTGGTTTTTATTAATTTGATTGAAAACTTCAGTATTGGGCTTCCGGGGTAGAATGCATAACATTGGATTTACTCTTGCAGAGGAGGAATCCAGTCCACCTTTCTCTGACTCTTGTTGATTACAGTCCCACCACTTTTAAACATTTATGAGAAATGTAAAGTCTCAATTTCTGAACTGTCTGCCATTAGCTTGGATTTTTTACATAAAGGATCTCATCTAAAGATTTTGTAGAAAGTGATACGTTTCTCAGAAGTTAGAATAGTTCCAACTCTCCTAGTATTCCAGAAACTGAGAAACTGTTCTCTTTAATCAAAGCTTTGGGGAGTGTTTCCTAGCGGGGGAATTCTGGGAGTTGAAAGCCACACACTTTAAAATTATTGAGGTTGAAAAACTGATTCCGTGGGGTAAAATATATAAATAAAGGAATGAGAGAATATTCCAAATCAGATCTGCCTTACAAAATTCTAAATTTGGTTCATATTCGTAGAGTAGAAAAGCTAGGAAGGGGTAGTTCAGTCACAGACCCATCCTGTGATTGCTTTTAATTTTTAGTTCTACACTGAAATATCTAATTAATCCTGTAATTTTACAGGACTAGAGTGCAAGGTGTCTAATTTGCACACATTGTCACTGAACTATTCTTATTGTTTATTTTGTAGTCCAGGAATTTGCATAAGATAAATGACAACTAATTTGTAAAACAGACTTCTGGACTGCTTTGCAGACACTTCAAGCGGTCTATTGAGCAACATTTTCACTGGTTTCATACAACACATTACTTGTAGACTAGGCTGAAATGTAATTGGGTGGTTTGTGATTCAATGTAGTACAGTGGTTTAAAGCAACCTGTTATTAACACAGCTGCCTGCAATTACTGCAGGTTCAAATCTTACCAGGCTCAAGGTTGACTCAGCCTTCCATCCTTTCTAAGGTAGGTTAAATGAGGACCCAGTTTGTGGGGGCAATAAGCTGACTTTGTATAAATATACAAAAGTATGAAGGCTATTGTTTAACGCATTGTAAGCCGCCCTGAGTCTCCGGAGAAGGGCGGCATATAAATCAAATTTTTAAAAAAATGTGTCAGGAACCCATTCATTGTTTTGACATGTTATGGGAATGGGCCATTACGTTAAAGTACAACATCATGATACCCCGAGTTGGTTATAAGATGGGCGGCTAAATAAATGTTTTCAATAAATAACATTATTTGAACATTGGTGTAACGTTAGATAAATGTAGCAACTAACCTATCTTTAAGACTGAGTTTTAGTATGACCATGTATTTACAACCTAATTGTTTTCTCACACACCTCTTTCCCTAGGCAGAGCAAAGTATAAGCATTCAATATTTTAGGGAGAGCGTTTATTAATGAGTTGGTAATGCATTATCTTCAGTATGCATAATGCCATAGTTTTACTGCCAAATATTGAAAATATTTTAAGCAGCTTTCTCTAAGCTTCCACCTTTCAATTGTGCTGCATTTGTCCTTCTAATCAAGTGGGGATAAAGGCTGGCTAGGAATTTTGGGCCCTGTGATTCCAGTATATCTGGATAGCAAGAGGTTAGAGTCCGAGTCTATGGAGAAAACCATGGAGAAAACCATTGCCAGTTCAGGTAGACAGGTGTAGTATAATCTTTGGGGGAAACAAATTAATACATGGGCTCTAGCTGATATTGTTTTTGAAAGGGTTAAAAAATGTAGACTCTGAACGTGCCAATTCCTACCAACAAATATCATTTTATGGTGCAGTAGAACTGAAATATGACTGTATCTTTTAGACTATGCCTGCAATGTTAATATCCTTTGTGTTCTACAGAGGAATAGCTTTACA